TATATATATATAAATATATATATGCATATGTATATATCACACTTACTGTAGGTGAAGCGTCGCAAAAAGTTCTGCAAATCGCCAGTTTGCTCGAGGCAAAGGAATACGAGCAACAGAAGGCAACAGCAAATAATGAAGCAACAATACAAATGTATGAGGATCAGTGCAAGGAGCTGCGGCGAGCGCATAGCGAAGTGAAGAGCCTGAAGGAGCGTCTGTGCTCGTTGGAAAAGTGCCAGCAGGAGCTCAATGCAGAGGTGAGTAGAGTAGTAGCCCCAGAACATTCAGCCAAAATGATTATGCCATTTAATATGTTTTGTGGGCCTAGCGAAATTCACTGTGCGCCGAGATCTCTGCACTGAAGGACAAAGACGCCGAGCTGTGTGGCAAGGATCGAGCTTTGAACGAGCAGCTGAAATGCAAAGAGCAGGATCTTAAGAAATCACGGTGCCTGCTGCACGACATGCAATGCCATCTGAAGCAGGAGGAGCGTCAGCATAAGGAAACTCTGGACCGTCTGTGCAAGGCCAACGACGATATACGGCAACAAATGCGCGCCGTTGCCAACGAATGCAAACAGATGCAGCTCAAGCTGAAGTATGTATGCGGTACGGTGGATCCGATAACGTTGTCCGTAACGAATCTTAACCAGTATCAAATTCCACTCTGTAGACAGCAGACCAACGTAAACGAGCAGCAGCAACAGATCATTGAGTCGTTCCGCAAGTGGAAGGATGCGCAGATTCGATCAGACGAAGCGATGCGTCAGTGCATTAAGCGTGCCGAGGAGCACATCAATCTGTTGCTGGAAGAGAATCAGCGTCTGTGCGAGGAGTACCGGCGCCTATACAGCGACTACTCCCAGCTCGAGTCGGAGATGCAACGTGTTAAGAATGCAGTCAATAGCCGCTTTGATACGTCATCGTGCCCCCCACCCCATCCAGAAGGCGTCTTATGCAGGAGTCAGGCGGTTAGCGACGAAGTGAGTGACAGAGCGATCAAATCAACCTGATCATATTTTTCCTGACTCTCTCCCTCAACTTACAGATGGCCAATCGCTTGAGGTTTATGTCCTGTACGGCACAGCGCCTCTCTGCACAGTGTCAAGCGCTGAAGAGCAATTCGCTGGATTTGTCCATTATTAAATCTATGCAATCCAGTCAAAATTTAAATACCGAATCGACGACCCCATGTTGGCAATTGAATGACACAGAGTCAGCATCTAGCATGTTGTGAGAATCATATTAATTCATCTCTCTTCTAGTTGTGGTTTATTGCATGTATATGCAATAATATTCATACTTTTTACAATTCTGTTTAATACGCGTTTTTTATTTTTACACACATTTGGCCAACAGATGTAAATTGACAGTTGTAATTTTTTAAATAAATTAACATTTTGATAAGTAAGATTAATTGAAATCTGTATATTATTTACAAAACGTTTTTAAATAGTTGCGCCTAATTATGTTTTTAACTGTCGATAGATTCACATTTATATCGATATTAATGTAAATATAAATACAAAAACATCGTTTCTAACACTACCCGCCCAAAGCCCATTTGTTAAACAACTCCATCTATCTTTCATCCTGCTGCTGCAGCAGCTTTTCACGCTCACTGATGGCTATCAGCGCCATCTTGATTTGCGAGCGCTTCTTTACGCTTTCCTCACGCACTACGTCCGCCTGTTTGGTCAAGATTTTGATGCGGACATCACTGAAGTTGATCGCTTCCTGCATGCTCATTTCCAGAAAATGCTCCTTGCCCACATTGACCAGTATTTTGTCCATTTTTTTCACTCTCGCCTGCATGAAAACGTTACTGCCAATGTTAACCTGGGTTTTGTAGCCGTCCGGCATGTGCTCGCCAAATGTTTGCAGCGTGTTCTTCAGCTGGACATACTCCATGATCTCCCCGTTGAAGTCATTGAGGCACTGCTCAAGGCGATTTAGGTCTTCTTTGAGCACATCATTAATAAATTCCTCGAGTTGCGTTATTCGCGCTTTATGTGCTTCTAGGTCTTGCATTGTTTTGGTTTGTTTTGCCTTTGTAACTAAAAATAATTATGGGCACCCTAAATACTTAACAGCAGCAGAACTGTTAATGCCTATAACGTCATCTGTTACACTTGATAAACTAAGTAACGTATTAAATTTGATTAGTTTGCTACAATATTAGATAAGTTATTAAATTAACTTCCTCGCAACTTGCGGTAGATGACATTAATAGCTGATTAAATCTGATACTGTCAAATGAGCCCTAATACTACAGCTGTTACCCAAATGTGGCGGTCGGACAATACCGATAGCAATAACGAGCTCCACGCGGAACATTTGAAATATGTAATCGATATTTGCAGAGCTTGATTTAGCCAATGCAACAACCTCTAGATTTCAGCAACTTTATATAGTGAAACTATAAATTGGTTATTGAAAATTGCGGTTGAGTGACAATTAAGCCTACTTATGCATAATCTGGCTTTCGGCTGATTCGGACGACCTTACAGCCGTCTCATGCATTCCATTTTCGCTTGTTTTTTATGTAATCAACTGATCTCTGCTCGTGCCGCTGATAGCTGTCGCGAGAGGCGAAAAAAGTCAATTGTTTGCGCACGCAATGGCAACTGTAATAATTTCTCAGCGTCTTTTTGGGATATTTATTTTGTCTTTGTTTTATTATTTGCAACATTGTGGGGCGCAAATCAAACTGGCATAAAGAAAGCCCCCGCCGGCGACAGACAGTCGGCAGCTGAAACTCTTTCATTAGCATTTTTAATGCTTACTTAACCTTTGCGCATTGCGCATTTGAACCCTGCGAAATGTTTCCTGTTGTCATAAACAAAATCTCAGTAGGCTTCGACTATTCACCAGGCCTTGTGCTATGTGTTCATTTGCCTGAATCTTCATTAGATATTCGAACTCAGCTCCGATAAGGCGTTAAAATTTTTAGTAAGTTTTAATTTTTTTCCAAAAGTTTAAAAACAATTTTTTTTTTTTTTTTTTTTGCTTTATATTAATTTTTCAGGAATATTTGTTTCCACTAGTTATATAAACTTTTAAAGGATTTTTCCAATTTCGTATTTTCTAAAATTTATAAAAACATTTTTTTTTTATTAATTTATATATTTTTTTAATAGTTTTTCTTTTTCAAATTTTGTATTTTCTAATATTGTTTAGAAAACAAAATCTCAGTAGGTTTCGCCTTTTCACCAGGCCTTGTGCTATGTGTTCATTTGCCTGA